CCCCAAAACCCCAAAACCCCAAAACCCCAAAACCCCAAAAAATCCACTAATTTTTTCCAAAATTAATGACTCAAAAAGCACCTCAAAGCTCCCCTTCATCTTTGCCTAAAACACCCCAAAATGTTCTCAAAGACGTTTCAAATGGTGCTGAAGGCCAGTCTGAAGACTCTGAAATCATTTTTCATTACAACAAGTCAAAGGCTGGGTTAGAAAATGTTGATACAAACAGGATCAACAATATCATCATGGAATGCAGCAAGGGCTCTGAATATCACAAATCCGAACAGAAGAGACTCAATGAAGTCAAGGAAAAGGTCACTCGATACAAGCAGAAAGTGGCTAAGTACCAAGCTAATTCCCGGCTGTGGGAGAAAGCCAAGAACGAGGTTTACAGAAGGATTGAGCTATATAAAGCAAACCGTAATTTCAAGAGAACATGGATCCATGTCGACATGGACATGTTCTATGCAGCAGTTGAGATTAGGGACAACCCTCATCTCGCTGATAAGCCAGTGGCTGTTGGCGATAAGTCTATGATCTCCACAACCAATTATGTAGCGAGGAAGTATGGTGTCAGATCTGGGATCCCAATCTTTATTGGAAAGAAATTATGCCCAGATCTGATAATCATCAAGACAGATTACGCTAAATATCAGAAAGTTTCCCAACAATTTAAGAAAATCTGTAGGGAATTTGACGAAGATCTCGAATCAAAAGGTCTTGACGAAGTCAACCTCGATGTCACTGGGTATCTCCGGAGAAACGGAATTGACCACGAGCTAGGCAGGATCTTTGTAGCTGAAAAGATCAGGAGGAATATTAAGGAAGAATTAGACCTAACTTCTTCTTGAGGGATCGCATGCAATAACATGCTTTCAAAGGTAAGGTCTCTAAATCTCATTGCTTTTAGATATGCTCAGATGTACAAAAACCAAATGGGATTACATACCTAGAATTCAGTGAGAAAGAAATCACTAAATTTTTAATGAAATTGCCTATAAGGAAAGTACCAGGCGTCGGAAAAGTCAATGAACTTATTCTATCAGGCCTTGGCATTAACACCTGCGAGGAAGTACTACAAAAGGGAGTAGAGGTGTTTATTAACTTTACTGAAAATAGCTTCGAGTTTCTTGCAAGATGTGCATTAGGAATTTCACGAAACGTTCATGAAAGAGAATCTCAAATCCAGAAGAGTTTATCAGTCTCGAATACTTTCAAGCCTGTTTCAGAGTAAGTATCTACTTCTTCATGTTTATAGGCTGCCACAGTTCAAAGACAAGTTGATAAAGATCATCAATGAAGTCGCTGATAGAGTTAAGGATAGGAAAATATGTGCAAGGACGATTACCCTTGAACTCAAGAATTTAGAGTATAAGACTATCAGGAGATCCTTCACGACTGAGAGGAGCATATCTACTCATCAGGAGCTGATGAACCATGCTATAAAGTTACTTATGGAAGCTTGGCCGGTAAGTAATGACTATTCTCACACTTTTAGATGGAGCCAATCAGACTTATGGGAGTTAGGTTAAATAATTTAAGGAAGGTAGAGAAGAGGAAGAGAGATAATAAGTCTCACTGGAAAGATAGAAAATCAAATGGGTATAATTGGAGCAGCTATAAGCTAGATAGGCCTACTCCTCCACCCAGATTCCAAAATAATACTTTGACACCTGAGAGTTTTGGAAAATAATATGGAGTGAATTCTGTATTAAATATTGACAATAAAGGTTTTGAAAATTCTAATTTAGATTTTAAGAAATTATTTTACAATAATAAAAAGAAAAGTTGTTCTTAAATATTCTACTTTTGAAGTACGCAAAGGGGTTTTGGGGTTTTGGGGTTTTGGGG